GAGGTGGGGTTTTTCCCCACGAAAGCTTATGCTCCCAATACTTCTGTTAGTCTCAAAGGTGCCACAGGACCCTCTGTTGCTTTTTACAGATTCAGACTAACACGGCTACCCCTCTGATACTTTATACATGTGAGTACTTCAATGGGACTACTTCATGTGTATAAAGTTATTAAAACATGTAAGAGCTTCCAGGAGTGGGCACTTCAGTCAGTCATGTCAATATGCCTAATTTCGTCAAGCTGCAGTCTGAGGGTTTTGGTATGAGCAGTGAATACTAAATATGCTAACATCAGAAGACACACTTTACATATACAATACATTCACATCAACTTAGTGCAAAATACATATAGATTTGTGCCAGTTTCAGTGGTGATGGCCATGAGAATTTCTGTAGAAGTATAAGCAATTTTGAATATAGTGTGAGGAGCCAGTGACCTGGTGTTAGAGCAAATATTTTAAATACCTAAGTACCAATTACCTCCAAAATTTAATTTTGAATAATAAATCTATAACCTACTGTAAACAGGTGCATATGGAGATATTGTGATAGGTGCTGCAGAAATACTGTGGTAGCTAGATTAAGGCGGGGCTTTTCAAAGGGGCATAAAGGTACCAGATGCTCAACTTTCAATGGGTTTCAATCGGTACTGGGAGCCAAACTCTCTTAGGGTTCTTTGAAATTTCCAATCTAAATGGTGTGTGTAGTAAGGCTTTAAAATTACACCAAGTCACCTCAGTCAAATCACTTTTCATGAGGTTCTTTGATATGAGGGGCACACACGATACATAACATCTCAGGGTATGTCTACACCGGAGCTGGAAGGTGTGCTTTGCAGCTGAGCAGACATACCCACACAAGCTCCGATTGAGCTAATGTGCTAAAATTAAAAGTGTAGTTGCAGAGGTATGAGCAGTGGGAGGGGCTACCTGCCCAAGTATGTACTTAGGGTCTCAGATGGGATCATACTCAAGTGGTTAGCACATCCCACCACTTGTGCCACTGCAGCTACACTGCTACTTTTAGAGCACTAGTTCAATTAAAGCTAGTGCAGGTACGTCTACTTGAGCTGTAAATGACACCTTCCAGTTTCAATGTACGCAAACCTGTAATGTCAAATGAAAAAGGTAAACTTAGAAGTCTGGGTGTGGGCAGTAAGTCGTCTCTAAGCCTGATTTTCATCAGTGTACATCAATTGACTTCAGCTGAGATACCCCTGGTTTACACCAGCATGATTAGAGTATCATATCCTCTGTACTGAAGAAGTGCAGGTTTGAGATTGTTTTAAAGATTCGGCTACTCACAAGAAATTCAGCACTGAGTATTGGTAGGTTGGAATAGCCTAGAAGTAGCAGCAATTACTTTTTCACCATCCGCAGAGAGCAGAGGCTGCTTTGGGGATAAAATGACAGGCAAGTCCATTATGGATAGGTGTGTGGTACTCAGTAGTAACATGGAATTAAAAAGTTAAAATTAATATAGTTATTAAAATGCCACCCATTACGGTTTTGCTCTAGAAATTAAAAGTTGGAAACAAGATATTCTAAATCCTGATGATATGTATGATTTGATGAAAGTAGACACTTACCATCTGATACTTTACGTTCACAGTTAAGCAAATCCCTGCAGATGCGTGCTGGGTTATCCCGAGTGCCGAGGGGGTTCTTGATACTGTGCAGTAAATTGCTAAGATAGTGTAGCGTTTTGAATATCTCTGCACTGTGATCTAGTAAAGTTACTTCAGTATTCTGGTAGCTCTGCCGTTAGCAACAATGTTATCACAAAAACACCATAGCAGCAGAGCATGCAGTTAAATCAAATGCCCATTGGAGACCACATGCAGAAATGAAAGGTGTTTATGATGCATGCAGCCGGCCACGTATGAGATAATAGAAATGATTTATTCAAATTAAAAATAATTAGTACAATTTATTAAAATTATTGGAGCAAAGGAGTTACAGTCAGGTTAAAAATCATGCAAAAACATTGTTATAATACATGGAAATGGAAATTTGAATGCCCAAAAAAGAAAAAAGAAAAAAGAAAAATTAGTTCATTTTATAAGTGATACCTTACACTGTCAGATTTTGAACAACAGAGTTAATAGGTCCCAATTCTAAAGACACGTACAAATGTGCTTAACTTTACACATGTGAGTAAGTTCATTGCATGTGCGTAGTCCTATTGACTGAATGACTCTACTCACATGCATGAAGTTAAGCGTAAGTGATTGATGGATCAGGGCCTTAATGACAGTCTCATTTGTAGGCATGTAGCTGAATGTATACACTTCACATTGTATAATGGATTGATACTTTCCATCCTCCTTAATCATATTTAAACATTAGAAATACTGTGGTTTTTAAAACTTGACTTAAATTGCATCCTATATATCCAATTGTGTTTAATCATATTATACATGGGTTAGTTTTTCCTCACAAAACAGTTTCTAGTTTTTCTCTGTTTTCAATAAAGCCTTTGTGAAGAAGCCATGTTTTGGCCTTAAAAAACCCAACTCTTTATACATTTTCTAATGTATGTGCCAATGTAAATAAAGTAAGATATATTACCTCCATTTGTAGTGCACCATTTGATTCAATCAAGGCTTGAATAGCAGCATTGATGTCCATTTGTTTCTGTGTAAACCAAAACCATTGAAGATCAGCAGTAAGATCAACAGAGAATAAAATTAAGGTTGTAAGTTCTTCAAGTATGGCTGCAGAAATATACTAGTTATATCTGACGAAGAATTTGAAAGTCTTTTGATTAAAACATATTGCACATAAATGTGTATGTATCAAAAAGGACAAAAAAAAACCCGCCTTCCCCAAAACCTCTGAGGTCTCCTCATTATTTAGTTGAATGCTCCACAGCCATTAAATTACATACTATGAGAATTCTTACTTTTAAAAGGAAAAAAGCAAATGGCAGAATGAAATGGAATACTCTTATTTTAAAGAATTGTAATTTAAAAAAAGAAATTACTTTAGTTTCTTTTATCAGTTATTTTCCTGGAAGAAAAATAAAACAAACAAACAAAACAAAAAATCCCCCCAAAAATCTCAAACCAAAACTATTGGCTCCAAACCTGTCTGCCATCTATCTAATCTAATACATCGACAGTTACAAATACTATTTATATATGGAGAAAAAGGTGATATTTACTCTCCAAACAAGATACACAAAGAACAATTCAGTCTCTAGTCAGGCACATACAACATGGGCCAGATTCCCTGGTCTCTTTCCACTACTCGAGTGGTGAAAAGTGCTATATCTTGCCAGCTGAGAATTCCTTTGATGCAAGGGAGTCCTCGGCTGGCATACAACTAGTTCAGATGCCTCCGATACCTCAGGCCACCCTAGTCCCCACTGTAGGGGAAATGCCAGAGTGGGAGGGGGTGCATCATCTGTCATGCCAGGAGGGTGGCCCAGGAAGGGGGCTGCCCAATAGAGCAGAAATAATAGAAAAGGACTAGAACACTAAATCCAACCTCCCAGTAAGTGCTGGATAATAATCCCCTAGAAGAAAATGGATACATTTAATGTAAACTGGAAGAGCATCTGGTGAATGACATACCCAGGAGCATCCTACTTCCCTTCAGAATTTGTATATGCTGAATTCCTGCAAGTAAGCTTTTAAACTGGAGTGAAGTTTACGTAGGCCAAGCATATGAGCATGGGCATGTGATTTGCCCTTTTAGGACTCTGCAACATGGTAGCACTACTAGAACAGAAGATGTCAGATAAGAGGTTTAGCATAGCAACTATATCTGAGCTTAGATATTATAGTGATGAGTGCTAAAGAAAAAACATTGGAATTTCACTTAAAATGATGGAGGAGGCAATACCCTATGAAGAGGGTCTCAACATTTTCACTTTCAACAATGAGGGAATGTGTTGTAGTTAGCACAATTATGAAACTTACTCTTGGACCAGGTACCCCAGGTGGACCCTAGAAAACAAGAGAAAGCAGTTATTAGGTATTGCAGGCCTCTTTAAATCATACATGCAAGGAGAACCTAGATAAAAATAGCTCTTTATACACTTACTGGTGGACCTGGATGACCCCGTGGTCCCTGAGGGCCCTAGGAGAAAGGAAGATAAAATGCATTAGGGTTAAAAAAAATCCTTCTACTTTTGATTTTTTTTTTAATCAGAAAATGCCATAATGAAGTGTAGTCAGCTGTAATCTAAACAAAGATTTCTTGGTAGAGCTGCAGACCATTTGTCTTCAGTTCTGAATGTACTGCATTGTGCATTTTTAAAAAGTGAGTGTTGTTCTTGTGAAAGGTGCCAGGCTAATAGTGCTGGATATCAAAACAACCCTCTGTTTGTCCGATCACACTTGATATTAAGAATACATTTATAAATAGTGTGCAGAAGGTTAATAAATGTTTAATAGATTTTATAAGCATGTCACACATGAGTAGTATGTGTTATGGATAGCTATAAACACATCAGCACAAAGTGTTATAGATGGTTATAAAGAATCTCTTAATTTACTGGACTCTAATAATTGATCAACCATTTATTAAAATATATATTAATAATTGATTAGCCCTTAATAAACTATTTATAAAAGTACACTTAATACAAAGTGTGACATTTGATCCAGGACATGGAACACTTGCATGATGGGCCCTTACATTGCAGGCTTCTCTCCTTTTAATCCAAGCAACATGTCACCACCATCCCCGACCCCAGAGGAACTTCATTTAAGGGTGGAATTAAGCAGCAGGAAGGGAGGGGGAACCAATTACAGTCAGTAGGGGCCTTGCAGGGAATAATGTGTACAACACACACAAAAAGTTAACACAAGTAGAAAAGGAAAGAGCAAAGTCTACACCTCGGGTGTAGACCTCACAAAAATCACATCCCTAACCAACACCGTTATACCAGCAAAAATTTCTAGTGTAGACCTGGCCAAAACCCACATCCTAATAGTAAACCATTTCATCTGTTCCTTTCAGTTCTCTAACTAACACACCAACAAGTAGTATGTCATTGAAGAGACTTCAAAAGAAACATCTGCATAAGCATCACTGAACAGAACAACTGTGAGCATGATCCTGCATCTCAAACTGCCAACCAAATCAATGGGAGTTTGGGGTGTTTAGAGCATGCAGGGTTGTGTCCCAGGCTAGTCCACACACATTTAAACAGAAGGATGCCAGATTAGATCATATAAAAGAGACTAATTTGGGTAACTGAGACTTTTCAGATCTATCAATCTCTAGAAGCACGTTGGTCACATTCTTTAGCCCATGTGATGTAAAATTCATGGGACAGAACACATGGTAGCTAAGTGAGAGCACATTTGATTTTCAATGAGAGCTGTTACGATGACCTTGATTCAGTCTCCATAGCCCAAATCTGTATATTGTGAGTGCTGCTGTTTTATAAACAGCTGTATAGTAATTATGGAGGGGAGTTAAAACTGAGGACATTTCTTTATGTTTAGGTTTAGCCTTTGCTGTTTTTTAATGTGAAGGCATTAAGGGCTGAGTCAGTTCGGATATTTAATTTTGTCAGCTTTTCAACCACCACCTACTATCACTGGGTCCTACTTACCTGGTTTCACCCAGTGTATGCATATTCAAGCTATAAGCCACCACCTCCATCCTGCAGACCAACATCTACTGTAATTTTACAGAGGCACCATTGATTAGTGGTTAATGTAGGGGAACAGTAATATAACCTAAAACTGCTGATTCCTAACTCTGCCACTAACACTATATGATTTTGGCAAGTCATGTAACGTCACTCTGCCTCTCTTATTCCATCTACGGCTAATACTACTTACCAACCTTTAAAAGTGCTTTGAGATCTTATACTTAAATAGGCACAAAGTATTATTACTGTTATTATAAAACTGTTGAGAAATGATGTTAGCAAAATCTTCCGTATGACTACTTTGGGTCAGATTCTCAGCTGGTGTAAATCAAGTGAGTGCAATAGTGCTATGCCAGTTTATGCCAGTTTAATTAACCAGATCAGTAGCAGGTTTGTTGTCAATCTGTCTCAAGGATCCTTCAAATCAATGGGTGTATATTACTGTATTCTTTGATCATGCAAAGTGCATCTGATATCTTTATTGGTAGAAAAAGAAAGGGAAAGGGTGAAAAGAAACTAAAAGAATAATTTCCACAGAGTAAGGAGATACTTATGTATCTTGGTTCAGGACTGGGTTACACAATGGCCAAGTTACAGCAAGATGTGAAGGCTTCAATGATCTATATTGCCCCTATGTAAACACTTATTTCTGGTGAATAGATGTCTTTGTTCTGTGTACAGTGATTCAAAACTTTCATTGGATTTCTCTAATAGCCGAAGGATTCTATATTTTTGGTGTATGCACCACAACTGTATGTCTGTAGAACTATTTTAAGACACTTGAGATTTATAGAGAGGGATTTTATTGACAGTTGTATTGTTCTGATGAAATTAAACTGTTCTATAAAGAGGTGATGTGACCCAATCTGCCTTGATCCACTATTTTCTTGCTAATCAAATCCCATATGAAAAGGTAAATTGGCAGCCAACTGCTACATGGGGCAACCCCTCTTGGGCATATTACATTTCTTAAATGCTTTAAAACGTCAAGGCTCTACATCAATTACTTTTACAAGCCTTTTAAACATAACAAAATTGCAAATAGTATGTTGGAAATTCTGTTGAAACATTATAAATGCTCCTTTCTGCCACAGAGCTGCAGTAGAAGGTTAAATTGCACATTTTATGGATTAAGTTAATTGCAGAATATTCCCCTGGAATGTACAGGATTAGCTTTATTAATCTACTTAAATGCTAATGTGATCAAAGGATAAATAAAGGAGTGAGAAAAGTATAATTCCAGTTCCTTAATACCAAAAACAAAGAATAAAATGAATTATTTTTAGGGTACCCTTTAATCCTTTCAAGCCCTTAATTAGACTGCTAGCACAAAAGGTCAAAGGCCTGAACTCCATCCTTTTCTCTTTGATACCTAAAAATTCTGATCCTACAAACATTTATGCATGTGCTTAACTTTAAGCATGAGCAGTCAGTGACAATAGCACTACTTACATGTTTACAGTTAAGCATGTACATAAGTGTTTGCAGGCAGGG